ACACTCAGCTTGTTTTTGTTGGGATTAATCCTTCATCACCAGAGAGGAAAATTGCATTACTCTTACTTTTACTGGAAAAAAAAAAATGTTTATGCATGGTACATTAATTATAAGTTCCTAATTTACTTGTATATGAGTAGCCCACAAAGATCAATGCTACATATTTTTATTTTCACAAATTGTCCATTGATGGAGAAAGCTTTGATAGCATTTGAATGCTTTTGGTACTTTGCGGTGCTGTTCAAAGATATTTAAAAAACAGATTATAGATGCTTCCTTGTTTAAATCCTTTAGGGGTTTTTCATTGCAGTTAGAATAGAATTAAAATGCCTTTTCATGGTTCTCTACCCACTTTTCTGATCTCTGATTCACTTTTCAGGTCTAGGGGTCAATAAGAACACACACCCTGTGGTGAGAAATTTGACCGGGTTAAGGATAAAAAGAAGTCAGCAATAGCTGAAGCATCTGATGGAATTCTCTAGTTCATATGATCCACCCTGGCCTTTTTGCTAGTTCTTGAGCTCATCAACCTTATTCCCACCCTTGGACTTTGCACTCTTTTCTTTGATGAAAATGTTCTTCCCCCAGACATTATATCTATATGACTGAATTTTTGTTCACTTGTGACATCTCAACTCTTTGTGCCTCTCCATAGAGCTCTTTCTTGACACTCCTTTCTAAAAATTTTGTTTTCCATTTTTTTTTCTTTTTATCCTGTTTTATTTTCTTTACAGCCTGTAACACCATCAGAAATGGTTTGCTGTCTACATTCCAAACTCCTTGTCCTCCCCACTCTCTGTATCCCCTTGCTAGTAATGTAAGTTCAGGAGAGTCAGGCTCTCGTCTATTTTGTTCACTCTGTATCCCCAGCTCCTAGAGCAGTGTCTAGAATAGAGTGTGCATTCGGTAAATATTAGTTGAATAAATGAAGAATGAACAAATAATTAAGTGGCTGTAAAAATAGTGCATAAAGAGAAATCTGCTTTATTGGGTTAAAGCAGCTAAGACAAACTAGGAACAAAAAGGGTGGACCTGAATTCAGTTCTTTATTCCACTGAGTCTTTTCATGTGTATTGGGGCATGTTTCTTTCTTTCTTTTTTTTTTTAATTATGGATTAAAATGCTAATTTTTTTCTTTATTTTTTTTATGTTCAATTAGCCAGCATATAGTACATCATTAGTTTTTGATGTAGTGTTGAACGATTCATTAGTTGCGTATAACACCCAGTGCTTCTTAACCTCAGTGTCTGTTTCTTTATCTATAAAACAGGGATGTAGAGTTCATGGGAAAAAAAATGGATGAATTAGTTGGTGAAATGACTGAGATTCATCATTTTTCCAAATGTATCTCAGTCAAGGAGGCTCTCCTTTTGAATAACAAATTCGTATGCAATATGTTGGAAAAGTTGAGGTTATATTATAAGACGTGCTAATAGTTTAATAGCCTTGCAAAATTTAATATTTTGCTTCAAAAGAGCACTTCACTAGGAAAAAAAAAAACATGAAAGTATCCCTTCAGAGTTTTAACTTACTCATGTCACAGATACCTTTTATTTTGCTTATTTTATTTTTTAGTTAAAAATTGGAAAAGATCTGAAATAAATTTTTAAAAAGCAAACTGTGATATTTTTTCAGGAAGGGTGAAATTGCACTTGATTTCAAATGACCCTTTACAACAATTAATCTATATTACTGTAGTCAAAAAGCTGAACTAAGAATATAATTACAGACATCATTAACATCAAAGTTTTAATAGTTTCTCTATGAAGAGGCAAATAATCAGGCTTGGACATGCCAAAATCATGACTTATTTCTTCAGTTCATTCAACACATATTTGTTTAATGTCTTCAGTGTGTTAGGTACTATTGTAAATGTATTGGGTAGGTATATCAGTGAAATAAACAAAGATTGTTATTCTTCTAGGGCTTAAATTTTAGACAGGCTGTTTATTCTATACTTTGCTTCCAGCTTGCTCCATAGCTTTATACCTTTCTCCATTTGTTAAGTATGACTCAGAGGATTGATACAGAAAATTTGGGTGGCTTTTAAAAATCATCTAATTACTGTTGACTAAAATTAGCTACAATGTGTTCTTTTGAGGTTATATACTAAATATCAACATGATATTAATATTTTGGAGACCATCTGGTTTTTAGACACATCTGCTTTGCAAATCTGGACAAGTTGTTTAATTTGATGGGGCTGGATCAAATCTATAAGAATTGGGCTATTTCAAAGGAGAAGAAAAATTGTGGATTTGCTGAGACAACGGACTGTATTTTAGATTGTAGTAGTCTACTTTGGCTATAGTCCTTTTAAATTTCAGCCTATATTTAATTCCATTAGAAATATATATCTACTTCTTACGGGTAATGGTTGGGTGGAGTGGTTTTGACTTAGTCTGTTTGTTTTCTATGAGTCTAATAATTGTAGAATTTATAATATACTTTTTCCTTCCAAGGATTTTGCAGTCCTTCACACACCTCATTTTATTTATTCAAAATTTCTTCCATGGGGTAGAAAGGATGGACATTTCTAGTCTCAAATAAGAACTTAAAAAATTAAAACCCCTGGTAGGGATTAAATGTATTTAGCAACAAATTTGGTAAATGAATGTGGTAGTTATAATTTGAAGCTTAGTGAACTTTCTAGTGAATATTGGTACCATTCATACTATGATTCTTTTTTCTTTCAAGGTTTTATTTAAATTCTAGTTAGTTACAGTATAGAGTAGTATTAGTTTCAGGGGTAGAACCTTCATGTCTCTTTTGTAGAGGAGTGTATTTAAGTAACTGAATGGCGCTAAGAAGAGAGGTTTAAACTATATAAAAGGCTGGGCACTTCTGCATAGTTTTCACCACGCTCCATAACCATAGCTTTGACTCTTACTTGACTCATTATCCTATCGTGCCTGCCTCCTTGAAGTTTGGAAGAAAATGAGTATATGGTATACGAATCAATCACTAGAAAAAAATACTGTTCCATTGTGTTTCTTTTTTTTCTAAGATTTTATTTATTTATTTGAGACAGAGAGCCAGCCACTCCCATGTGAGCAAGTAGGGAGAGGGACGGAGGGGGAGGGAGAAGGAAAGGGAGAGAATCTCAAACAAGATTGCAGATTCTCAGCACTGAGCACAGGGCTCAATGTAGGGGCTTAATCTCACCACCCTGAGATCATGACCTGAGCAGAAACCAAGAACTGCAAGCTTAACAACTGAGCACCCAGGCGCCCCTCCATTGTGTTTCTTAATTATGGTGAGAAAAGGTTTTAGTTAATTAATTTACCTGTTTCTCCAAAGGATATAATCTACTAAAAATCTGTATAATCTATATAATCTACTAAAATGGTGGGTTATTTGAAACCATGGCAAATAAGAAAGTGAAAACAGTTCTTTCCATTAAGCAAAATTCTGTCATATCCAAGTCCCCAAAAAAGAATGGCATTTTTCTATCTACAGAAGATGTCATGAATATACCGAAGAGAATTATCTGTAACTATAATGTTCTTTAAATTTTTTGAAGTCCAACAAATATTATATTATATTTTGCCAAAGGTAAATTATAATTTTACATTATCTAGTCACAGTGTAAGAGGTTAAATTTTGGGGCCTTATATAAATTAATCATTATGGAATCTTTAGAGGACATCTAATGTGTAAATGAAGGGCTGAAGCAGTTCTATTGAGCGCTTCTTTAAGTTTTAGTTAAACCCCAGTCAGAGCTTTATTTTCCCTTACTAATTTGCTAGTGATTATGCAACTTCAGAGTGACAGCTGTTGTAGCATCATCAGACAGTCTAACATTTGCAAAAGGTTAATTATCTGAAAATTTGAGACTTACCCGAAGGTTTAAAAAAATATTTTTGTCTCAGTTTTTAAAAATATGTGCATATTTATTTAGCTCCTTAATGCATGTTGTTTCCAACCAAGTAAATCTATTTTCAAAACAGAGATTATTTAAGAGATTTGGCTTATTTTTCTTTTCTTGGTGAGTGTGCCAAAGGTCTGTTTTCTATAAGACGTGTGTCTGTTTCAATTTACTATTTTGATTATGAGTAGTTTATTATCCAGATAGATCTTCAAAAATAGAATATTTGCTAAAGAATTCTTATGTATTTGGTTGCGTACATATTTTAGAATTATTTAGGATTTATAAATAGCCTGTAATATAATATTGGGAACACGTTAAGTATAACATATAATGCTTTAATAAAAAGGAAAGAAAAAAGATGATAATGTTCTAAGCATTTCCAATAAGGAAGTGAGTGGGTGGAACATCTTCAAATGCTGATTTGGCTTCCCTTAGAACAGTGTTAACGTCTTTATATTTAACCGACCCAGGTTCCAGCGTTTACAGTACCCACTTAAGTTTGTCCAGTCTCCCAGGTTTTATTACTTTTATGAATACTGCCTTGAGATTCTGACTTCCACACTTTGACTTCTACCTTTTTATATTAGGGGCGTGAACTTCCTGGGGGGCAGTTCTTTTATGTATGAAATTGCTCAGAGTTTCCATCTGCTTTTACTTGACTTGTGGTCTTGAAGATCATGCTTGGCCCATGGGATATTACAGCGTGCCGAGAGGATGTGGAGTTTTGTCAGCCAGTGAAATATGTCTGTTTTTTTTTTTTTCTTTTTCTTTTTTCTTCAGCAGCTTTCATACACTCCTCATCCTGTGTGGTCTTCACTAAACTGAATTTTTATTTAACAGAACTACTCACCCTCTTTATCATCTTCTATGACTTGGTCTTTTTTAAGGAGAGGGTGTGTGGAAGTAACATCTGAGCCAAAAAACTGTAATGTTGGCAATAGGAAAACCTAAAACCGAAAGCTTAAAGTAGGTTATATATGAATGTGTTCAATATTCACAAAATGTGTATTTTGTAATGCAAAAGAGTATCATATTTCAGATATGTACAACTGTCAAAAAAAATTCTCATGCCAACAGTAGACTCCCAAGTTTTGTCTGTGATCCAAATGACTTTTTTGCTTGTTTTTAGGCACTACTGCAGTCTTCAGTTAAGCAACAAGTAGAAGCTATTGAAAAACAGTACATTTCTGCAATTGAGAAACAAGCACACAAGTGTGAAGAGTTGTTAAATACTCAGGTAATAAAATTGCACATCCATTATGTATTTATACTTTTCTTCTGACTCTCCTCCCCTGAGAGCTCTATAACTGTTTATTCAGTTTCGTGCCATTTACTTTCCTTGGTGTATTTTGGAGAAAAAAAAATATGCTTATGTAAACTTAATGTTAAAGTTTGGGAATTTTATGAAAGACTAAAAATAGAGCTGAAGGCCTAAAATATGTGGCTCTCCCACAAATTAATCATAATTCTTATGTTAATTTCTGTGTTTAAATATTATTCAACAAATGACAGAGGCAAAGAGATGACTATGAATGTATTATGGCATGTGAAATGATTTTTAGGAGTATAAGATTTATAAATAGTATTTGAATTTTGAAAGGCACTTATTCATGTTTGAGTTACCTTTCGTTGCATGTAGGCATTGGTCACTATTTGAATTTTTCACTGAATTTTTTGTTTCTTTTCTTGATTTAATGTTAAAGACATGATTAGCTGATTTACAGTGAACAATCAGTTGAAGAGCACTTATGGAGGTGTCGTAGTATAAGTAATATATTCAAGAAGTTCCCAACAACACTTTTAAATAACAAAAAATTTGGTAGGTGAAAATACAACCAGCTTTATTTAACAGAACTTTCTTATATCATGGGAAGAAAATATACTAAGAATTTGGAAAACAAAGTTAGGGGTAGAATTTAAATGGAGACTTAATAAATATGCCACCCCGTCACCGAGATCGGAATCAATTGTATTAAATTTTTTCAGTGTCATTTTAATAAATGGCTTGAAAGAGGAAATACACAGGGAATTTTATAAATTTGATATAACAATTATATTCTTTTGGGTGATGAAATACCAGGTCATCAGAAGTATGAAGTATATGACTTTATAAATGGACAGAAAAATCACAGTAATGAATTAAGGTCACAGAACTGTGAACAGCAGAAAGCATGTATTAGCCAAGGCAGGCCAGGTTATACTCTAAATTCTCTGGCTTCAGACAGCAAAGATTTATATCTTATGCATTCTATATATACACTGAGGATTGTCTTGGGGCTTGGTCCCAGGTCATTCTCACCCTAGGAACTGGCCTGGTAGTGTAGTTCCTATGTGGAACATTACCTGTGATCATTGCAGAGTGAAAAAGAGCTCAGTCAAATTTTCTAAGAGTAATTCAATATTCTGGACTGGAAATGACACTTCTACTCTCAATTTATATCCATACTGCTTCACCTCATCATAATGGGGCCAGGTAGTGAGATCCTACTATGAATCTGAAAGGGAGTGAGCAGGAAATATTTGGTAAGCAGCATTAGTCACAGCACGTTTGGCTCTTCTGGTTGCCAAATATTCCCAATCTCCATCTTTTTTTTTTTTTTTAAAGATTTTATTTATTTATTTGAGAGAGAGAGAGAGAGTATGAGGGGGGGAGGGTCAGAGGGAGAAGCAGACTCCCTGCCGAGCAGGGAGCCCGATGTGGGACTCGATCCCGGGACTCCAGGATCATGACCTGAGCCGAAGGCAGTCGCTTAACCAACTGAGCCACCCAGGCGCCCCCCAATCTCCATCTTACAAGCAAATTTACTCAACTGTCTCCTTGGGAGAAAATCCAAAAGTTCTGACCTGCTATGGCCACAAGCTCAAAAGTCCAGGATCTTTAGATGATAGGTAGGGAATGACGTACCACAGTCTCTACATTATCAGGTCCAGATATATAGTCCCCTTTGACCTAAAGAATTAGAAACTAAAATATGTAAACAATGCATCATGGAACACTACATCAAAAACTGATGATGTAGTGTATGGTGACTAACATAATAAAAAAAAGTTATAAAAAAAATAGAAACTAAAATATGTGTTGTTTACCTTCAGCATATTTGGTACACAGTGGCAAGATAAAGGTATTTACTATAAATACTCTCAGTAGGAAGGATGAAGAATCAGAGATGCACAGCTATCATTAGTATGTAGCAATTCTAAAATCTCAATGGACAAGATTAAATAAGATCTCTCCTATGGGAATAGGATTGATCTTTGACCATGATTCTCTGTATAGGGTTTAGGCACAGAGTTTCTAGTCCATTGTTCTTTATGATCGTATAGATTTTAAATTTTTCAGTAACTTTGTTGGCTATATCTGAGTATTGGTGATGATACCATTTCTCAGCTTGCTTTTTGACTGTAGAAAATTGGGAGACATGGGTTATTTTATTTTATTTTATTTTTTTATGAATTCAAAGGACAATTTTTTATTTTTAAAAAATAGCCTGGAATCCTGTGGGGCTGCAGCCAGTGTACTTTTTTTTTTTTTATGTTATGTTAATCACCATACATTACATCATTAGTTTTTGATGTAGTATTCCATGATTCATTGTTTGTGTATAACACCCAGTGCTCCATTCAGTATGTGCCCTCTTTAATACCCATCACTGGGCTAACCCATTGCCCCACCCCCCTCCCCTCTAGAACCCTCAGTTTGTTTCTCAGAGTACATAATCTCTCATGGTTTGGGGAGACACGGGTCATTTTAGATAGCAAATAGTGACAGTTCAGGGTAATGGTTCTTTTGGCTCCTTACCTGTTTGCTTACAATCAGCTCCATTTGTCAAAGGAAACCCACAGTTATTTTAGAGACCTATTGCCTACATTTAATATGTTTATATACTTTTCACCCCTATACTTGCCTGTTTGTATCGTTCTCTTTTTTTCTGATTAAAAATAACTTCATTTATCAAACCTGGGTTGAAGAAATTTCAATGGTCTCTTTTCTCCAAACCATTTGTTCCAAATGAAAGTATATACAGGACAGTCACAGCCTTATCGGGTCTGTGCTTGGAGACACTAATGGATTGAATCTTTAACAGTGGGTGTGGCTAACATACACTTGGTTTAAGACTTGCCGTAAGGTTGAATTTAGTTGGTCTTTGTTGCTCAAAGACCCTCTCAATTGTTTCTTTTAGAAGTTGAGGTTGAGAAGGTGGTTATTCCTGCAAGTCCTCAAATTGCTGAACTTTTTCTCTTACCCGTAATTCAATTCTTGTGAATTGTCTTTTCTTGTGAATTCATTGCTGAACTTGTCTTTTTCTTACGATGCCTTGTCAAAAATAGCCAGTAGCAGAGCTAATAAATGACTGCAGCACAGTAGTAGGCTAAAAGGTTAACACACAAAAATCAGTTGTGTTTCTATACACCTTTAATGAATATTCAAAAAAGAAATTAAGAGAGCAATTCAGTTTACAGTAGCATCTTAAAGAATAATATATATAGCAGTAAATTTAACCAAGGAGGTGAGAGACTTGTCCACCGAAAACTACAAAACAGGACTGAAAGAAATTAAAAATAACCTAAGTAAGTAGAAGGACATCCCGTGTTCATCGATTGGAAACATTGGGTGAGGAGCACTCCAGGATTACCACAGGACATATAGAGGACCAGAAGCAGTTCAGTATAATGAAATGCTATTTAAAAACTAAACACTAAGAGGGCATATGATTACTAGGTAAAATCACATAAAGTGTAGAAATGGTGATCCCACACTTGTTTCTCTAATCATATTTCATTAGATGCCATTTGAAATTTTAAGTTAGTAAATTTAATTTAACAAAAATAATACTGGATGGTTCCTTAGAAATAGTTTAGCCTTTGTATGTGTGTGTGTGCGCACGTACATGCATACCTTTCTCTCTCTCTCTCTCTCTGTTTCTTTTTCAAATTAAGAATTTAAGGGAAAAGCAAGTAAACACGCATTCAGAGTAATTACAAGCAGGTGCTCTGGAATCTGACTGCCTGCCTTTGTCACTTAACTGTGTTACTATGGAATGTCCTTAGCCTTTCTGTGCCTCATTTTTCTCATCTTTAGAATGTATACACAAGTAATTCCTACCTCATAGGATTGTTAGGAGTATTATATGACATCAGATTTGCATAGTGCTTAGAATAGAACCTGGCACATTCTAGGTGTTCAGCTGATATGGACTAAATTATCATCATCTTTGTTATTCTTGGTCACAATATTCTTGGTCAAGGTACGGCTACTCCCTTGTCTAGTATTTCAGTGCTAGGCCAACCTTTTGTCCATCCCTCTCTTCCTTATTTAATGAGGGCCTTTTATATGACTGACGTTCTGCTGGATTATATGGATGTAACATGAGCAGGACACAGTCCTTCTATTAATATTAAGCAGGTGGAAAACAACAATATGATTGTAAAACTGTGGTAAGTTATGATGAAATAAATGTTATATTAAAGAGGTATATAATTCCTTCATATTGGGTGAGGGACCACTTATTGGACTAATGGTGAGATCTTTCAGGGTTCATGGGTCTGAGTGAGGTCGGAACTGAGAATTTCACCTGAGACAGGTAGATGGAATAGCATATTCACAATCTATTAAATGAGGGAGTATAACATAAATGTTTGACAAGGGGGGTGGGGCTATTTGAGACTGCGAAATGAAAGATTATTTTATGCCATAAAAAGGATAATAAAGGACCTTGTCTGTCACGTTGTCTGACAGGAAATTGAGAGCTGTTAAAAGGCATTAACTAAAGAAGTGACATTTGTTCAGATTTGCATTTTAGAAATATTACTCTGGTAAAGTTTAAAAAACACTTGATGGGAGACAGTATTAGAAGCACATAAATCAGTTAAACAGCTATTACAGTTATCCTAGTGAGAATGGTGGTGGCCCAAACTAAGGTGGGTGTGTGGGAAAGAGAGATTTTGACGGTTTTGAGTCATATTAAGGGAACAGAAACCAGAGAATTTGTGGGAATAAAAGAAAGGAAGTAAATGTCGATTGATAAAGGATATATTTACACATACACAAACACACACATTTTATATACATAAATATGTATTTATATACATGAATATATTTTTGTGGATGGTGACCAGATCTTTGGTTTTGGCAGTTCACTGAAATAGGAAACTTAAAACCTGCAGCATGGTTAGGGTGAAAATTTTGTGTTTTGGACATGTTGAGCTTGTAGTGCCTGTGGAATATTCAAGATCAGA